CATCAAAGAAATGGGTCTATAGTTCTCTTTCTTTGATGAGTCCCTGCCTGGTTTTGGGATGAGGGTTATGATGGCTTCATAGAATGTGTTCGGTAGTGATCTTTCTCTTTCAATTTCATTGAAGAGTTCTCTCCTTACTTTTGAGATGTAGGCTTTGCTGCTTATTCTGGTTTTAGACTCCTGGGCTGAAGTGATCATCCTCCCTCATTCTCCTGAATAGCTGGGACTACAGGCACATAACACTCCAGGCAGATAGATGGCCTATCTTGATCTCAATACATTGATGTTATATGATGTCATCTATTTATTTTTTATTGTGAAAATACTGTACAAATGGGTTACAATTACATGAGCAAGGTAATGAGTACATTTCTTATCAAGCATTGTTGCCTCCTCCTTTGTTTCCCCTTACCATCCCTTCCCTCCTCCCCCCCTTCCCCCAGTGCACCAAAGTTGTTAAGTTCATTTTTTGACATAATATCTTGTACATCTCATTGTTGCGATGGGTCCACCTTCCCCTCCACAAATTATACCTACATCAAATATAGTGAGAACAGGGGTTATACCGTGGGAAGGGACATACAAAGCAACAAAGAAATATCTTATAAATATGTTAGAAACTATAGCAAGAAAGAAAAAAACATTTGAGTCCTTATCTTGGGGTTCATTTTGCCTAACATCAACTTATCTGACTGTTTCTGCTTGTCTCAGACATATACTAGTTATTGCAAATAAGGGACACCCTGGGACCTATGATGTCATCTATTTCTACGATTTTATATTTCTATGATTTCCACAACCTCCAATTATTTGTCTGTTTCAGACCTCACTTCTGAGATGTATAATCACCTGTGAAATGTTTATTTAGTAATCTCCCTTGAGTCTCTTTCAAATAAAGTCGAGCTCTTGACTGAAGCCCTCTTTCAAATAGCAAAATAAAATCCTACCAATAGCAACAACAAAAATTTCTGTTCTATTCACACACTTTTTTGAGTAGCATCATGAAGGGGCCTGTGTGCTATCCTTGGTATCTCTTATTTATTCCCCATAGCCTAGCCCTTGTCTTTCCCTCTTACGTATGAACTCCAAATTGTGTTTTAAATTCTATCCACTTTTGCGTTTTCATTATTCTTGTGGTTTTTATTCAAGCTACTATCATCGATCTCTAGGACCAGTACATTATTTAGTAATAAATTTTAGATATTATACTGAAAACCAATTAGACATACTTTTGTCTTTAGGATTTCAAATTATTGGTAACCATTAATTTTCCTGAAGTTAGATGAATAGAGATATAATTCTAAATGTAAAAGAAACAGAAACATTAAACTACATATAATGGCTTCATTTCCTTCCTCAATAGAACCAGACCAGGTAAGCCAGATAATCAGAAACTTGATTTTAAGGTTAGATGTTGGTATCGTAAGTCTATCAGTTTATTCAGATATTCAGAATGTTACAATGGGAGGAAGAAAAATCTAATTTTCACATTATATATTTCTTTCTCTTGTCAATTACAAATAAGAATCCCTGTCTCTTCATTCTTTCCCTCTCTTCTCTTCATCCATTCATTCATATTATATACTAATACATGCATATTAATATTCTGAATTTACTATTTCCCTAAGTAAACATGCCTCATCCCTTGGAATGAGGAAAGAGAATACCAGTTTGAGCAAATTACCCGGGAGCATTTTGGTAACTGTCTGAGAAATAATGGTTTAGAAGAACATGTTCAGGTCAGGTTTAGTATTTGTAGAATCTGAGGTTCCTGAAAGGCATGAGGAGGAAGTATGGAAGATCATTATATCCTTTGAAGCTGAGCACGTAGTGACACACTTGTAATCCTAGCACTTGGGAGGCTGAGGCAGGTGATTTTTAGTTTAGTCCAGGATAAGTTACATAGCAGAACCCTGCATCAAACAAGTAACAAACAAGGTACTTACACATATTCTGAATTTGTAATTTTTCAGTATATGAATATAATTTGGACATGTGACGATGAAGTCACTCAGTAGATTGTCTTAAAAAGAGAGTCTTAACTTTTGAAAAGATGGACATTCCTAATTCAGGTATAGGAAAATGTAGCCAAAGAAACTTCAGACATAATAATGGGAAAAATCCAAAAGGGTGGTTGTTTAGGCTAAAGCATGAGAGTTTTTCCAGATACATGAACTGGTTGTTGATATGTAAGTTGCTGGTTACTTGGTTGATATGGAATGACCAGAAACCAACTTGTACTAGGGTAACACGTCCATGGTAGTAAGGTAGGAATTTAGTTGTACTGTGGATTTATGTGAACTTGGGTGTGAAGGAGGGAGAGAGAAAGATGGAGGGAGCTGTGGAATCTTGAGGGATTTTTTAAACGTCAGAAATATTTCCTCACTAATACTTTTAAAGCTAAATGTCAGATTTGGATTTTATAATTTGAAGCAGATTTTGTTAATATCATTTTGAAGTACATTTTTTGGTGCTGATCTTGAGGCTTGAACTCAGGGCCTGGGTGCTGTATTTTGACTCAAGGTTAGCACATAGCCACTAGAGCCACAACTCTGCTTCTGGATGTTTTGGTAGTTAATTGGAGATAAGAATCTCAGGGTCTTTCCTGTCTGGGCTGGTTTTGAACTATGATCCTCAAATCTTAGCCTCCTGAGTAGCTAGGATTATAAGCAAGAGCCACTCGTGCCCAGCTTGAAGTGTGTTTTTAAATAAACATATCTTCTGTGAATATATTTTATAATTTTTGTGCTTAAGTCACAGCTCCACTTTTGGCTTTTTGGTGGTTAATTGGAAATAAGAGTTTTATAGATTTTCCTGCCTGGGCTTGATTTGAACCATAATACTTAATTCTCAGCTTCCTAAGAAGCTAGGATTACAGGTATGAACCACCAGTGCCTGGATATTTGTACTTTAAAAAATTTTTATCTTCACAGAATTGGTCCATAATATTTATAATATTTTAATAGTTGCTTAGGTTCTAAGTGATTCAGCAAGTGTAAAAATTGTTCTGTTTTGAAGATGACAGAGATAAGTAAGGAGTTAAGGAATTAGAAAATGAACAATAAAGGAAGTGAACAAAATTAAAATATTTTTCAAAGTGAATAAAGTCTTCAGCATAAAACATATGCATCAATTTTTAATGGGGTATACCTAAAACAATTTGGTACTAGGGTAATATTATGCCCATAAAATTCAAAACATAAAATGGAAAAAAATAGGAGGTGGCGCTGTGGCTCAAGTAGTAGAGTGCTTGCCTTGAGCTGAAGAGCTGAGGGACAGTGCCCAGCCCAGAGTTCAGCTCCCACGACCAACAAAAAAAAAAAAAAATAAAAAATATAAAATGGAAAAAAGTCTTGTTAATTTCTGTGGATATGTGTATTTTTGACACGCAAACACTATTTTTGTTTTTCAGATCTTTCTAGAAACCGCTTTACAGAAATTCCTTCTGATGTGTGGTTATTTGCACCTCTTGAAACATTAAACTTATATCATAATTGCATCAAAACCATTCCTGAAGCCATTAAAAACCTGCAGATGTTAACATACCTTAACATTAGGTAAGAAAATTCTTTTAAATAAATTTTGGATTTTCTTATTGATCCCATTATTCCTAGTAGCAAAAGATTGTGTTTAGTTTGGCTGTGTAGCCTGTATTTATCTCCATAATATTTTATGTGTTTTGCAATATTCACATTGCTTTGTAGGGCTTTGGTCTTTTCTGTAAAGCAGTTTATGCACAGCAATCATTCACTTGAGAAGCTTGTTAAAAGTGGATATCAATTCCTTGAATCTACTATGGAGCCTGCATTTCTAACAGATCTGGTAATGACTATGCCTGCCTGTTGGTAGTTAGACCTCACTTTGAATAGCAAGGCAATACCTATTTTCCTGAAATCATGGCACCATAGTACAGATTCACTTAGTTTCAGTGAAATATAAATATTTCTTAAGTAATTAAAAATTATTGTAAAAGTGATGTACAGAGGGGTTACAGTTATGTCAGTCAGCTAATGACTACATTTCTTTTTGAACAGTGTCACCCATCCCTAATTTTCTCCTACTTTCTCCCTTCTTGAGTCCTCACCCCCTCAAGGTATCAAGTTCATTTTCAACATAGTATCTAGTATCACTATTGCATTGGTTCACCCTTTGTCCCAGCATTTCTGGGATTCCCCTTCACTTCCCCAAGTCAGATAAAGTTATATACAAGATACAGAAATCAAAAACAGTGTAAAAAGGGAATAAACTAAAGTGGGAGAAAAAAGAACAAAATGAAAGAAAAAAAGAACTGCAAACAGTACACTAAAATAACTTCATTTTTCCATATATTGAAGTTCGTTTCGATAAGCATCATTTTATATGGTTATATTGAACCATTGTGATCCTCTGCTAAAAATTTTTACTGTTCTTGTGATTTGTTGCTACTTCAAGAATGGATAGATTGGGATGAATTTTTGGAAAGTTGCAAATTGATGTCAGTGTTGCTTAGTAAGTACTTTCTATGTGCCAGGTAGTATTGAACATGTTTCCCCATATTACCTTATTAAGTCTTCCAACAGCATTTTGAGATTGGCACTGTTATTGTCCCTGCATTACAAGAAAAGAAAGTGGCTTAGCTATTTGTCCAGTGTCATACATACAACTGTCCCTTTGTATTTGTGATGATTCATTCCAAAGCTTGCCTCAGATACCAAGTCAGCAAATGGCATGTTGTTTACATCTAACCCATGTGCATGCTCCCTATACTTTCTCTGATCTCTATATAATTATTATAAAGGCTGTAGAAATAGTTGCTATTTGCTTAGGAATAATGACAAAAAGTCTGCACATGTTCAGTAAGATGCAGATTTTTCCCCTGAATATTATTGATCCATGCATAATAGGTTGAAGCCTCTGAAATAGAACCCATAGATATAAAGGGCCAACTGTAGTCAGTAAGTGATTCCGGCTGTACTGCTTTTATCTGGAATTTACAAAAGAGTTGCTACTCATGTATAAGAAAAGCACCGCCTTGCCAAGTGAATGATATTGAATAGAAATCTGGTATGTTGTAACTTTGGTTTTGAATTATTTTCATAGCTTCCATTAACTAAGTTACTTGTCTATGTTCCCTTATAGGGAAGTGGTAAATATAATTAATGTGCATAAGTAATAATGCAGTCTCATTGGCCTACCTTATGAGATATTTGAGGAAAGGAAGATAGTTTTATGTTTCATTTTATTCATTTATGGAATAAATGATTTTCTAAGAACTGAATTACATTTATGCATAAACATGTATGGTATGTCTTAGAAAAATTTTACTAAAATTTCCTCTTCTATCCCTGGTGTTTGAACTCAGGGCCTCATGCTAGGTTGGTGCCTTGCCCTATAGCTATGCTCTTAGTCTTATATGGTCTCCTCTAAAAGTTGACTACTGATTTTTGTTTACAGGCAGACATTTTCAAACATACTATATTGAAATAACATTTGCTGTAGTGACTGGCTTTATTTGGTCTCCTCTAAAACATGTAGTAAAGAAGAGTTGATTAATGACTTACTTGCTTTGTAGGAAGAAACCAGATTCTGGAAAAAGATCATTAGGCTAATTCAATTAGCTTCCTTTGTTTCATCCTTCTGGTTCTCCTCTTTGTTTTAGCAAGTATTTATTTTAGCACAACTGGGTTAAAAGAAAGAGAAATTGAGAACAGGGAGAACACATTTGCTGTTCTCCATGCAGGAAATGGGAGTTAAAGACCCCTTAGATTATCATGCTTCTTAAGGGAAAGAAAATGGATTTTAAGGGCCTTTTATTTCTTAGAGGATAATTAGAATCAGTTTGCTCTCATTTTCCTATTTATTATTTTAGTTTTGTAAAATATCTAAATAAATGGCTAAGATGGTTTTTGACTTGTATTCTGTACACTCCCCACTTTGTGATTCTTGCTGTAGAATCCTTATGTGCTCCAGCACACGAGGCCCAGACTGACCATTTTTTCAAGGAACCTCTTGGTGCTGCAGTGTGAAGGATTGTGATCGACCCCAGTGTATTTGACATTCTAGTAGCTTGTCCAGCATTACTATTTGAGCAGCATTGTCTTTTTCTAACTTTACACTTGATTGCAAAAGTCTCTTGAGTGTTTCTCAACATCTTCCACATGGATAACATTAGGTGGAGAGTCTTGAATTGCTCCTCTCGAGTAACATTGGCCTTTTGTTGCTGTGGACTGTAATTGTCACTTTGAAAAAACAGAAGAGATTATTTCTTGTTCAATGCTTGTCACTGCGCAAATTGAATTGAACCCTTTTTATATTGTGGTATTTGCATCTTTTGGGTCAGTCAGCCTGAAATGATATTAAAATCTAACCCTAATAGCTTGAAGCCAAGGGTTACTTGGCCATGTTTCCTCTGTTTGACTCTTAGCTTTCTCCCTTACCAGTGTGAGATTTTTTTCATGTGTAAAATAGGAGTCTGTGTTGGAGTTATCACACATAAGTAAGACATAGGGTCTTCCTTATTCTTTCTCAGATTGGAACATAGGAAATGCTACTTTTTTAGAGCTAAAGGAATCAAGGCATTGAACATACTGAATTCATCGGAGTGTAGGGCATTCTTTAGCTCAGAAGAATCAGTCTGAGTTTTGATCCCAGATTGGGTACAGGACAGTATCAGAGATAGCAGTCACACTTGTGTGGAAAGTTCTGCAATTCATGGACAGGTCACTGAACTAGTTTTCAGTTCCATTTTCTGTAATGAAGATACTACTTATTGAATTAATGTGATGATTAAATGAAATAGTTCATGTAAAGAATTCGCATGTGCTTTATAGAAGCTATGTACTCACTAAGTGGGACTGTCATTTAGTAAAAGTTTATTGTTTTATTTCCAGGTGATTTGTACTCTTTTGTTTTAACAGAATATGCCAATTTTCATGCATATTTCTCATAATAAGATTTTCTTAATCTTTTCAGCCGAAATCTTTTATCAACATTGCCAAAGTACCTGTTTGATCTTCCTCTTAAAGTTTTGGTCATCAGTAATAATAAACTGGTATCCATTCCAGAAGAAATTGGGAAGTTAAAAGATTTAATGGAACTGGTAAGTGAATTGGTCACATTTATTGTACATTTTATGTCTATACTTATATCTCTACATATCTATATATGTATCTATGTATGTGTCTGTCTGTATGTATCTATTTATTTGTCTATCACCATCTAATACACCTTTACTTTTTTACTTTGTGAAATTTTACTGGAAGTTTAAAAAAAAGAATGGTTTGATATGTTTAAATTCACTTTAGTAAAATTTTGAGATACACTGATTTATATTTGCTTTCATCTCCCAACATAGAAAAGCCTGGTTAGCCCTTAGGCCTAGAGCTGCTAGAAGGATTGCTTAAAAGCTTTAAGAAATGCTTTTCAAGGCATGACATGATGGTACATTCCTGTAGTCCCAACTACTTGGAGGGTAGAAATCAGGAGGAAAGATGTTCAAGGCTAATCTAAGTAAAAAGTAAGACCTCACCTCAACCCATAAGCTATGTGTGGTGGTACATACCTGTAGTTCCAGGGAATAGCGAGACATGGAAAGGAGGATCATGGCCTAAACTAGCCTAAGAAATAAAGGAAAAAATAAAAAGATATAGAAAAGAAAGAAATACTTTTTAAATGAGTAAGCATTTATTTTCTCATTTTGTGGATAAGAAATGTCTTAGGGAAAAAGAAATGTTTATATAGGGCTACTGGTGAACCTTATGAAATGGGAATAAAAGAAGAGAGTACAGCTGGGCATGGTGGTTCCTGCTTGTATTCCTAGCTACTCTGGAGGCTGAGACAGAGGGATTGCTTGAGTCCAGGAATTTGAGCCCAGCCTGGATGATGTGGTGAGAGTCTGATTTAAAAGAAAAAAGTACAATGCCTGCAAACAGAATTAATAAAATTACTTTTTCTCTATGATTTTATAACACCGCTCAAGATAAATAGAAAGAGGCTATTATATGCAACTGTTTATAGAAATATAGAATAATTTGAAGTAAGTACATTGAATATAACATTTTAGGTCTTAAAGGACCTTGACTCAGAGCAAGTTATAATTGGATCCTCAAAGCATTGAACTATTTTCGTTTCTTTTGATAATGCCCAATTTATACAGTGTACTATACTGCTTGTTTTTAGTTTATTTTCAGTAATGATTTCCCAGTAAATACATATTTAAAATATATTCTTAAATATGACTTTATTATGTCTAAAGGGCCAAAGGTTTTCGTGGGAAGCTTATCTCAATTTTACAATGGGAACGTATTATAATAGTGTGTTGGGACCCTAATTAGAACGGCTATAATCAAGAAATCTAATAACAACAGATGCTTGTGGGGATGTCCCAAAAGTGAACCCCACTGCACTGTTGGTGGGAGCGTAAACTTGTTTAACCACTCCAGAAAGCAGTATGGAGGTTCCTCAAAAGACTCCACATAGATTCCCCTATGACCCACCAGTCCTACTTTTGGGCATTTACCCAAATGATCACAAACAAGTCCATAGTAAAGCTACCACCACAACTATGTTTAACACAGCATTATTCACCATAGCTAAGATATAGAACCAACCCAGATGCCCCTCAGAAGATGAATGGATCAAGAAAATGTGATACATACATACATACATGCATATATATGCATATAAATAAAAACACACACACAATGGAATTCTATACTCTCATCAGAAAGAATGACACTTCCCCATTTGTTAGGAAATGAAAAGACTTGGAAAAATCAGATTAAGTGAAGTAAGTCATACCCAAAGAAATATCGGTCCCATGGTTTCCTTTATTTGCAACAAGTAGTACACATATAGGATAATCATATCAGATAAGCAGCAAAGCTCAAAAGCTATGTACATATGACGATATAAGATGATGCTAAATGAAATGAACCCCAAGATATGGACACAAGAGGTTTTCCTTTGTTATTGTTGTTTTTAATGTACAATGTGATTTTTTTGTTTCTTTTGTATGTTCTTCCCTCTATGGTATATCCCCTGTTGTCATTGTATGTGAGTACCCTGCATCTGGTATATACATTTATCTAATTTGAGAGGGGAAGGGGAATAACAAAATGCTGAAACAAGGACACAGGATGACCCATAGCAACAGTGAGAGTCACAAGACATTATGTTGGAAATGAACTTTGCAACTTCTGGGGGGGGTGAGCTGTGAAGAGTGAGGGAGGGAAGGGATAGTAGGAGCAAAACAAAGGAGGGGGTAACCATGTTCAACAAGAAATGAACTCATTACCTTACTCATGTAACTGTAAACCCCTCCCCCCCCGTACAGCATCTTTACAATTAAATAAACATTTTTAAAAAGTAAAAAAAGTAGTGTGCAGGGAACAGAACTCTTAGCCTATTATTCATTAAGCAATTTCTGCATGCACAGTTGTAACAAAAGAAAATTTTCTCATGCTCTAGAACCACAGAATTTTGAGGATATAAGAAATCTTAGAAGTGATAGAATATAACCACTTCCTAATGTGAAAGTCTCTGATAATCTGCTTATTTATTTTCAATGGTCATCCACTCTGTAGGTTCAGGCCAGCTGTAATTTTCCCTTTCAAAACTATGTTTCAGCAATCTTTCTTAGTTTAAACCAAAATACACGCTCCTATCGTCTATCATGTTTATTATTGGTTTTAGGACTACTATATAAAGAAATATGGATAATTACATTTGTTCTCTTGGATACTTGTAATTTGTATATATCTGCTCTCTATTTCCAAATCCTTTTGCCTGTGGGTTAAGACTGGGGCTTGATCTCAGGGACTTGTGCTCTTGTTTGCTGTGGGTTTTTTTTCCCTCAAGGCTACTGCTCTATGGCTTGAGACACCTCTCTACTTCTAGTTTTTGGTGATTAATTTGACATAAGAATCTCATGAACTTTCTGCCCAGGCTAACATTGAATTGTGAGCCTTAGATCTCAGCCTCTTTAGTAGTTAGGATTACAGGTGTGAGTCACCAACACCCAACTCTATTACCAAATTCTAAGACCTGAGTTGTTAAAAGAAAGTATTTGAGGAGCTGGGAAGGTGGCTCAGTGGTAGAGCGCTTGGCTTGTACGCATGAGGCCCTGGGTTCGATTCCTCAGCACCACATAAGCAAAAAGAAAAAAAGCCGGAAGTGGTGCTATGGCTC